AAGAGGGGGCAGGTAACGCTCTCGCTTTGAGTTGATACTCTTTGTTGCATGTGTGCTGTGGGTGACAAGCGTCCAGAGCGTCCCCAGCTGAGGAGGTGCTGGAGTTTCAGCAGCAGAGGGAAGTGACACGATTCAAGCACAGCTCCGCAAACAACAAGACAGCCATATTTGTTCATAACTTTATTATCAGTAAACCTGAGAGTTGCCAGATTTTTGCGAACAGTTGCTGAACGCACCCTGACAAAATGAAAATGGTGAAAAAAAAAAAAAAAAAAAAAAAAAAAAAAACTCCCCTGCTGCAAAATGGTCCACGGGGTCACATGCGCCCCCCTGGCATTGTGGATTCTTCTTGTTGAAACGTTTCGTCTTTTATCCAAAGGACTTCTTCAGTCTGAGGAGCTGCAACAAGCTGCTGCTGGCAGTCTGATCCTCAGAAGAGGGTTTGGCATTCAAAGAGGTTTGGACTTAAAAGTCTTTAAAAATATTCTGATAAAGCCCATTACAGAGTAAAGGTCTCACTTATATCAGGAAATTCAAGTCATGACAACACTAAAAGATAAAAGTATGACTGTAGAACATTATGCTTTAATCACAGTGGGTAAGGGGTGACAGTCCATATTTTATTGGAGGTGAGTGACAGTTTTATTGTCCATAACAATCGACCTTATCGAACTTTTAACTAGTTAGATCTCTGCCAGTGTCACTGTTACATATCTCCACCAATAAATATAAAAATTTAAATTAACATAAAGGATGAATGTTTCACCTGCGGCAGCTCCAAGGCTTTCATGACGGCAGCGAAGCCGAACAGGTTGCCCATGGTGGTCTTCAGCTCTGCGGCCATCTGGATGATTTTATGAAGCAGAGCGGCCCGAGCTTCAGTCGTCCCCGTGCAGCCCAGCAGGTTTACTGCAAACATGATGGCCATGGTCTGAAACCTGCAGGAGCACACGCAGCACGTCAGCAGGGAAACTAATTCAGAGGGAAAAATGGCCGACAGTCAATTTTATGAATCAGAAGATACTGAAAAACGGCATTAGTCACCACGATCCAAGAAAATATTGATTATTTTTAATCAATTTATTGAGCATCCATTATGTTTTACAGCCTGCAATATAATATACAGACGATTAGGTTAATGTAAAAATGTTTTTGGTCATAAACTGAAAAAAGCCAGAATTCTGACTTTATTCTTCAGATTCTGATATTTTAAAATTAAAACCTAAAATTAGAGTTTTGTCTCTAAATTCAGATATTTTAAGATTAAAATCTAAAATAAAAATTAGATTTGTGACATTTTTCTAAGAACACCGATATAAAATAAGAGTTTTGTCTCTAAATTCAGATATTTTGAGATTAAAATTATTTAAAAAAGTTAAGATTTGTGACTTTTTTCTCAGAGCACTGAGATTAAAATTAGAGCTTTGTCTCTAAATTCAGATATTTTGAGATTAACGAAAAAAGTCAGAGTTTTGACTTTTTTCAGAATTCTGAAATTGAAGCAAAAAATTCTGACTTTAATCTCAAAATTCTGAGTAAAACTAAGGATTTTACAAGGAAAACAGAAAATTAGCACCGTGGCCCTGGTCCTCTTCATCACGGTGCAAACTACCAAATGATTGATTATTCACATAACATAACTTAATAAATAAAGAGTAAAATATATTTTTTTTCAGTTGCAACAAAGCTCAGTTAAATAAAATTATGTTTCATTTTATTGTCAAATAAAGAAAACAGCTCTAAAATCTGTTGTCAGAGTACAAATTAAAGCTTCAACTATGTTAAACATTTTGAACTTGAGCATGATTATTAGAGCTGTTAACAACATTTCTTATTTTAGTATTATATTTATAGATACTCTTAAGACAATTTTCAGGAGGTTTCTTCAGATCATGTACTTTAGTGGTTATCACATTTGAATAAATAGGTTTAAATTATTATTTTTTCTTCATGTGACAGTGCAATAAGCCCAACACAACAGTCATTAAATAAACTCGGCTCAGAGTATTTGTAGGATTTATGGACATCTTGTGGCAGAGCTTTCAGCTTGCAGCCAACAGAACCCCCAGTTGAGGTCATGTTTTATGTGCTGTGAATGAATCGGCGAGGCCGCTGCACGTATTGAACAGCGCTCACCTCTCCAGCAGGTCCAGTCTTAACTGTTGGCCTTGTGGCAACGTGAGCAGCTCCATCCCAGAACTAACTCCCATCATCCTTTGCATCTCCGGAGTCACCTGCAAAATTCGCCCCACCTAGAAACCAAATATTTGGAAAAAACACTTATTTATATATTTTGGTTTTACTGAGTGACTTTTTATAAAGTGTTGCAGCATCAGGTGCAGATTTATGTAGTTCTGGTTAAAGCATAAAAGCACAAAAAAAACACACTTTTCAACAGATTAAGAAATGACAATTATACAAAAATAAAAAATAAAAAAAAATCACGCCAGATCTTATAAATTTATGTTTGAAAATATAAAACAGATAAAATTAGAAAAGCTTAATAAAACCAAAACATCATTGAAACGACTGATTATTAGTTGTTTAATCTTACGGGTGAGATACGTAATATTCACGTTAGTCAACATTAAACATTTCAACCATTAAAACAGCCACGCTGAGCCAGAGAGGCGGTAACTCCATCATATCAAATAAATATTTTTGCATTCCAGACTGGATTAATTGCACATTTCCTGTTCCTGGAAATAAACTCTTAAATAAATAAGGGGATTAGTGTTCCCACGTTAAAACTGAAAACAGTCACCTACTAGAAAAACCCGTCCAGAGGACCCGAATCAACCTTGTTAAGAGTCGTTTACCACAATTATTAAGTTGTAGATATATTTACAATAATTATATCCTGTAAGTTTCTTTTAAGTGGTTCCTGAAATATTTTGCAAAGAGACATAAATGACTAAATGTGCTCAGAATATGTTTTGAGGATGACTCTCGGCTACTACCACGCCACATTTTAGGTGAATATCTGTAAATTTGACTGAATTATAGCCGTCTTTGTGCTGGTTGGTCGGCTGTGGCTGCTGCCTTGAATTCTTCATTCTAGATGTAAATCAGTTGTAGACGTCCATTTAACGCATATTTTCTGCAGGTTCTGGTGGTGAGTGTTAAAAATCCACTCCATTAATAAGAATAGAAACACTGATGTTAGTGGTTTTTACCAAGCAGTCCGTCATGGTGATGTGCTGGGCCGCCGTTCTGGGGTTGACCTCAACCAGCAGCTCCTTCATGCTCCGCAAGATGTTCACCTCCAGAGGCTTGTTCTCTTTGGACATCAGCGCTGACAGGTACCTGCTGGGTCTGAAGCAAGAGACCGTCTCCACCACCGGTGAGAAGGACGCAGTTACATCGTCCGTCCTCAGCGGGTCAGAGCTGGACGAGCCTTCCTCTGCCTGCAGCCGCTCCACGTAGCTCTGAGGGTACAGCTCGGTGTAGCAGCTTCCATCTTTGTCAGAGGAGGGGGCGTCCTGCTCCAGATGAGGTACGTTGAGATGCTTTCTGTGCAGAGTGCTGCTCGGTGAGGACATAGATCTGGTTGTGTCTGAGCACCAGGAACGGTTTGGAAATGGTGTCACATCGGCTGCCTGGCTGCTGTGGGGGCTTCGAGATGGTGAGACTGGAGATGAAGAGGGAACAAAAAACACCGGTTTTGGTGGCAAAGCTTCTAAAAGACAACGACAGTGTGTAGCTTTACTTAAAGCCTAATGGTTACTCTTCATAACCAACATTTTACTTTGCTTATGTTGCTGAGGAAAGCTGTGGCTGCAGAGCTCCAAACAGGGCTGAGTTTGCTCGTTTTTTCCATTGAAATTCAACAGATAGGACCAGGGACGTCAAACTCACCTACAAAATGGGACAAACACTAACATCTTTCAGACCGAGGGCTAGTTTCAGTCGATTCATGACCTCCAGTCAGAAACCTCACATCTTTTCTTGGTTGCAGGTTCCTCAACAAGAGATATGTTGGTCTCAGCAAGACATTGTTCCAATTATATTTTTAACATCAAACTTGGCCTACTATCATGAGAAGTCTGCACTAAATGAGGTGATAAAACTATTTTACTTTTAAAATACCATCTTGGGGGCCAGATAAGACATTAACAAGGGCCCTATTCGGCCCCCGGGCCTTGAGTTTGACACGTGTGTAAGCCAAAGTTTTCATGTGTAATTTTCATGTTTTTTTCCAAATCTGTGGAGCCTGAAAACAGACTGATATTGTGAACAGAACAAAATAAAATGGCACTTCAGGATTTATGCATCAGCATAATTTCTACCCTAAAACAAACAAATAAAGTAATTTGCTTTTTATTTCCTCTTGGTAATTCTTGGTTTCCAACCATCCATTTGCACCAGGTCATGTGTTTTGAGGAGAAACCCCCATGAATATTCTCCTCCCAGCTAACTAATCTCGCTCTTCCAGGGGAATGTTGAACGGTTTGTAACAGAGCTGTAAAAAAAGGCCTCGTCTTGCTAAGACTTGTCTGAAAAATCTTTCTAAAACAACATCCTGATGTCAAAACAACGACAACATGGCAGCAACTCCACTCCTGAATAAAAGCCCATAGAAGGAGCGTCACCCGCTTCCTTTCATGACAGAGATTTAAACCAAGAGCAGCTGTGGTCAAATATGGAAAATAACAATTTATGTGTTTTCAAGCTACATCTCTTGTGTGATCTGTTAGCGGCTGTATGCTCAGCTACTACCACGCCAAATTTTAGCTCAATATTTGTCAAATTAACCAAGTTTCTGTGTTGACTATGATTTGATAAATTACTTTTGAGTGCCTAATTAAAATCTGAGATGAGATATTTCACTAACAAACACAAAGATGAACAAAAACACCTCTTTTTTTCAGCAGCAGGTGATTTTTAGTCAACAGCTGTAAATAAACAGAAAAGATAAAAATCTTACTTTGCACGAGAGCTGTTTTTTTTTTTTGTTACCACCTTTTTTATGACTAACAGTCAACCGTTGCAGCATAAAGTCCATAAAAAGAGTCCGTGAACTTTACTTTCAGTTAAATATGTCATAAAGTTCTTGCATCTAAAGCACAGATCTAAAGATGAACATGCAAAAATCATACAAGAAGGTAACTTTCATTATAAAAAGGGGATTTTATTTGTTCTTTGCTCACACGTCTAAACTTTAAGACACGGTATGTAGTATTAATTATTAACTCTGAAAGTAAACTATTGCTTAAAACCTTTTTTGTGTTGTTAAAAACGCTTCATGTCTTCTTCCTGCTCAGTCCTGTTAACATAAAATCTGCTTTAACGGAGATACACGACCGTTCTTTTCATGATCTTATCATTCCCCTTAACGTCTCTGATTCAGTTTATTGTTAATTATCTCGTGCAATCACTTATTGATTGATGTTATATAGTCTTTGCATGTGCAGAACATCCAGTCTGTTTGGTTAAACGCTGACCTTCAACTTACACTCATCTCACAGCACCTTTACGTACTGTCCTACCTCCAACTCTTTCCTGTTATTGATGTACTTTTCTTTATTCTTCTTGTCAGGTGACTTTACCTTGAGTACACATTTCAGATACTTGGGTTTATCATCTTTGTTAAGTGATCCTGCTTTATTAAAACTCAACTGTTGATAAAAATATAAGAATACTGGAGGGGCTGAAGCTAAGATTTAACTATAAATAACAAGAACAACCAAAAAAAAGTAGATTATTTTGGGTAAAATTGAGTCAGAGAAGCAATTAATGTTAACAATGTTCAGAGTTTCAGTGAGGCAAAAGAAAAAAAATGTATCTATAAAAGTATATCAAACAAAATAAATCTTTATCATGGGGCTGAAAGGCAATAATGTCTTTGTCTGTTTGTTTGAACCACTGGACGGAGTTGAGTGAAACTCTCAGAAAGTAATCACTGGCCGTTTATCTACAACTCGTTGATATTTGGAGTCAAGATGGCCTCCACAGCTAACTGACCTCAGACAACACAAACAAGGTAATAACTGTTAGTTTTACAGATTTGGTGTAGTTGTAACTGAGAGGCATCCTCAACACATCCTTTGAGCATTGATATTCCAAAATATCACATAGATTACATAATGTCTAGATTGTTTGAGATGGCATTAATCTGTCCCCCTGCTCTAATGTTAAAAACTTTGGTGTTATTTTTGATCAGGACGTGTCTTTTATCCCCCACATTAAAAACGTTACTAGAACCGCCTGCGAAATATAATTAAAATTATAAACATCTCATCTAAAAATGATGCAGAAAAACTGGTCCATGCATTTGTCACGTCTAGACTGGACTATTGCAATGGTTTGTTATCTGGGTGTCCAAATACTTCTTTAAAAAGTATGATCCAAAACGCTGCTGCCAGTCTTAACTGGAGTTAGTGGGAGAGATCATATTTCTCCAGTTTTAGCTTCTCTCCATTGGCTCCCTGTCAAATCCAGAACTGAATTCAAAATCTTACTTCTAACCTACAAAGCCCTCAACAACCTAGCTCCATCTTTTATTCGAGATCTTATTGTTCCATATTTTACCAACACTTTGCTCTCAGACTGCAGGTTTACTTGTGGTTCCTAGAGTTTCCAAAAGCAGAATGGGAGGAAGATCTTCCAGTTATCAGGCTCCTCTCTTGTGGAACCAACTTCCAGTTTCTGTCTGTGAGGCTGACACATTGTCCAGTTTTAAGACTGGACTTAAGAATCTCCTTTTTGATAAATCCTATAGTTAGGGTTGGCTTGTTATGCTGCTTTAAGCTTAGACAACTAGAGGACAAAATGACCTCATTTCCTTAAATGATTTGCTAAAACTGAATAGTTTTCACTTGATACTATTTTTATCTTAACATGTGATTCTTGACCTGCCATTGTGTATCTGTTCCTCTCAAACCCAGCCGGTCAAAGCAGATGGCCGCTTGTCCTGATCCTGGTTTTGTTAAAGGTTTCTTCCTCATGAAGGAGTTTTTCCTTCCCACTGTCGCCTTCATGCTTGCTCAACATGAGAGCTCTGTGATGGAGTTAAACTCAAAGCAGTCTGCTCCTCAGATAAATAATGTTAAATTATTATTTTTATATATGAATGTTTCTGTTCAGTGTCCTGAGACGACTTCTGTTGTGACTTGGCGCTTTATAAATAAACTGAATTGAATTGAATTGAAAATGTAATTTCCAAAATTTTGTTAAATCAGCAGTAAGTTCATTCCTTTTCATCATAAAGTGATTTTTGGTGAAATGTATTCCATGAAAGGCTTTTTACAAGCAGGTAGATGTTTAACAATCCATTAAAATACACCAAAATGCAGGAAATCACATCTACTTTATTAAAAATGTTCTGGGGAAGGCCCCCAAGACCCCCCCCCCCCCCCCCCCGCACACTCACACACAGTATTTGCGTTCCAGCATCGATCGGTTTACAAATGAAGCCCTGTAACTTGGCACGACTTCTGCTGTTCAGATTCTGTTCAGTTTTATGTAAAGAGTTTTCTGTAATAATTTGAAGAACTGGCAATACATTTATTATGTTCATTACGTGAATAAGTGGCTTCTGATACTGTTAATTTTCTCAAAACTGTAAATTTTGGAAATTGAAATTAAAAATGTTAATTAGGTCTGTCTTAAATGAAAAATGCCCCGTGTTTAAAAGTATAAAAACTGTATTAACACTTAAAGAGCAGGTCTTCAGTATCAATGTTACACAAATATTTTCCATTGTATTAAAGAGACAATTTGAAGGAAATTATTTAATCAACATGAGGGTTATGAGGGAGTCAGTTTTAAACTTCTTCTCCCTGTAAGGGGTCCCTGAACCCAAAAAGTTTGAGAACCCCGGCCTTAAACCAGACCTTTAATGAAAGCGAGTTTTTCCGTTGCTTTGCCTTTGCTCTATAAAAATCTGCGCCCACAGCTCAATGGTATAACATTACTACATCTAAAGTTCAACTTAGTTCATCAAGTGCACAAATCTCTGCTCAGCCCTCCCCAGAGACCTTTTTTATTCTGCTGCCATCTTATACAACCCACACTCTGAACTTTAGTCCTGTTATCTCAGTGCCAACACCCACTGGGTTGCTCTGACTGTTAGAGAAGGAAGTCAGACCAACATCTGCCGTGACGGAGACTGGATGCACTAACGACGAGCTCCCGCTCAAACGTGACATTCCTGCTGCTGCAACGCTCTCAGTAAGTTTTTACATAAGACAGTGACAGGCAGCGGTATAGGGATACAGCAGTTAGGCAAAAATATCTATGTTACATAATATTTTTAAAAGCAAAGTTTTAATTGTGTTTTTAAACCATGTTTTGTAAAATGAATGCAGTTAAATCCTGATTAGTTACAGTTTTGAATGTCACACAGGACCGGAGATTTTAAGTTGACGTGTCTGAACTTGCGTCTGAGCAATCCCACTGTAAAGAACAGATTTCATTAATTAAGAAAACAGATTAAATGTTTTGCAACAGACTCTTGGATACTCTGAAAATGGTTTTCTGATGCAGAAGATTATGACTGCCTCATGTTTTCCACAGGGCTCCTGGAAAAAAAACTTAGTTTGGTTTATTAAAACTAAATGCTCCAGAGTTGTCACATTTTTTTCCCATATATTTAAAATTTGTGACCTCTTTCTGGTGTACTGTTACATTTTGGTTTGTAGTTTCTTTAACATTTCCATATCCACATCTACTTTTACATTAAAGTAAGATTTCTGTAGAAATACACAGCGTTGACTGGCTGCTGAAATCTGCTGACGAAGCTAAAATTAAAAGCAGCAAGAAAGATGCTGAAATGAGCAAAAAGTAGCTACATTTAGCAAAACTGTAGCTAAAAGATTAAATATATGCTTAAGCCAAAATGAAACAAATAGTAGATGAAATTAGCAAAACAATTGTTAAACTTAGCAAAACCGTAGCTGAAATTAGCAAGCAGCTAAAATGAACAAAGAAAATGCTAATGTTAAACACAAAGCTGTAGCTACAATGAGCTAAAGAATAAAAATAAAACCAGAATGATATCTAAACGCTAACATGAGTAAAATAAAGGACACAGTAATGCTAAAAAATAAACAGTATCTAAAATCTATAAGTAGAAAAATGACAGTTCAAAGCTGAAATTAGCATAAAAATAAACCAAAAATTAGGAAAGCAGATTTCAAATAAAATGTTTTGAAGAAACTGAGTTAATTTCAATGTATCTATAAAATATTTTTATTTAAAATATTTTTTTTTTATTGTATTAAAGTTACAAAAAGCTAAAGTCGTAGCGCATTATTCCAGATTGAGCTGAACGTTTGATGTAAACATCAAAAAGCACAAAGAATTGCTGACTCAGCATTCACACGACATTATTACTGCCTTTAGGGGAACAGGGAACATTTTGTTCATTAAGTATTACATAACATCACGAGTCCTTTGGAAAGCTGCAGCTGCATTTTTTTTTACAGTTTACAAAGAATAAAAGAACCCTTGAAACTTTATCTTTAAAACATAAAAGCACAGCTTCTAAACCTGCTTTCTGCCTACTAAGGTGTCTGCTAGGACACAAGTACATAAACATAGCTGTGAAACTTGAAACATCTAATAAATGCTTCTGTAAAGCTGCTGGGTTTTTCATGAATTTCTCCCTTGTGGTTGTGTAATCAGTAAGCTGATACCGATCTGGAAGGTATGTCATTCAAACAAAACACTAACGTTTAAAAAAGTGCACAAACTAGACACGTATTAATATCCTCATGCATGCTCATAATCCAGGTAGAACAATCTAAAACGTTAAGTCAGGTCGTCTGGATGGGTTCAAAAACAACCCGTAGGCACGTATTAAGTTTCATTTAGACATACTGTACTGAACACTCCTGAAGGATAGATCCATAACAAAAAGACGGGATAAACCTCCATATTTTGTTATCAAGGTTAGTTTGGATTTGACTACTTGACTAAAGGTTAAGGGAAAATTTCACAAGGCATCAAGTCTGGATGGTTAAGCAACAGAAGTCTCGGTACAGTGAAGGTGAGGGCGGCTGTGGCTGAGTGGTTAGAGCAGTTGTCCTCCAATACAAGAGTTGGGGGTTCGAATCTACCAGCAGTCACTTGCCCAAGAGTCCCTGGGCAAGACACTGAACCCCTCATAGCCTCTGATGTGTGTCCCATCGGTGTATGAATGTGAAAAATCACTGATTAGTCTCTTTAGAATGATTTGTCCAATTAGCTTTGTAGAAATCCAGTAGAGTGCTGTATGAATGGGTAAATGAGGACACAGATTATACTGTAAAGTGCTTTGAGTGTCTTGATAAGATTAAAAAAGTGTTCAATACAAAATAAGATACTTGATAAGATAGAAAGGTGCTATATAAGAACAGTCCATTTACCATTTAATGTCTTCACATCTCTTGTCAGAATTTCTTTCAGGAATGTACCGACTGACCCTGGCGACACTTGCTGTGTTGCTCTGCAAAGCACTTTTGGTAAACAGTGGGAACGTCCTGGTGTTTCCATTGGAAGGAAGTCACTGGGTCAACATGAAAGTTATGATCAAAGAGCTTCACGCCAGAGGCCATGAAGTGACTGTGATACGTCCTTCAAACAGTTGGTTCATCGACGAAGACTCTGCTCTTTACAAGACAATCACTATCATGTCTTCGGGTGGTTTTGATTTGGACCTTGAGTCATTCATCACAAGAACTCTGACAGTGCGACGCCAAGGTCAATCATTGTGGACTCGTTTATCTCTAGAGCGTGATTGGATGACACAGTTCTATCTGATCCATAAGCAGATAATTGACATGATGGAAACAATTTTCGAGGATACAAAACTGATGCAGAGCCTCCGTGATGCCAAATTTGATCTGGTTCTCACTGATCCTGCAACTGGTGGAGGAGTACTTCT